GGTTAGATTTTCAGTTTGTGAAGCAACTATATTGTATATTGCTTCATTAATTATGAAACTTTACCAAGACCATCTCCTACCCATATAACTCATCTATGCCAAAATTGGGCACATTTCATTTCCCATTTTCCCTCAAGAATTTTCCTAATATTCTGTCTAGAGGGGTGCATTATGAAGCACTTTTGCTTATCCAAATGGTATGAAGTTTTTACGGCACCCTCACATGCCCAAATCATCATGCCATGCCCACTTGTAGCACAAGGCAATACTCTGTATGAGTTCCACTTCATGATTCATTTTTGGCACCAGAGTTGGAAGTTGCAAAGCAACTATATTAAGTAATGGTCCATTTCTCCTCAAAATTAACAGGATGCTTGTCCATCCCAGACATCTATTCTCCTTTTGGCCATCTCATTTCACCTCAGTGCTTTGCACAAGTTTGCTATAGCAAGCTTCAGATGATCTCGTGCATCATCTCACAATGTATTTAGTCGATCTATCACCCCCTTTGTAACCTAGCTTGGAGGGACTACACTCTGGACATGGTCGGCCGACCAGGGTGCAACCGTGTGCGCCTGTTCACGCGGTGAGGACGCAGATGGCATGCCAGCCAGCATGCTCCGATAGTTGGGACCCTTGGTTTCATCCATTCCTCCCATCCCTAGCCACCTAGCCATGTCCAAGGCTTTGCCTTGTCATCGCCTTTCTCCTAGACCCCTCGCCCCCTCTGGAGTCTTCCCCGGCGAGCCGTCCCCATCGAGAAATAGAGCGGGCCCACGAGAGCACAATGCCTCGATCGACACTACTTTCACTCCGTCCTCTTCCTACCCTCCCTTTGGCATTTCTCTGCTTTGTGACTCTCCTGTGTCCTCCCCCGTCGCCTTCAAGCCGCCCGTGAACCCTGGCAGCCACACGGGCGTTGACCCCGCCTTGCTACGTCACTTAAGTGGAGGGGTACTTCAGGTGATTACGTCTTTGATTCTTTGAAAGCGTATTCTTCTACTGCTTCATTCAGAAATATGTTTTCACTTATTCAAAAGGGTATTTCAGCAGAAGTCGCTTTCTGTCTAACCTTCCAGGGGCCTATATGTGAATTTTTCTTTTATAGATTAGTCCCTGCCATTCAATCGGCCGTGTGTTTTTGCCCCTAACTCCAATTGAGGTGACTCCAAAGCCCACTTCTTCGTCTCTTCGAGTCCGTCATATTGGTACCATTTTCATAATGTTTTCACGTTGTGAAAATGACCATTTTGCCCTTGCCCGTAAACAGCCCCCTCTGGGAGAACTATTTCCGACGAATCTTTCGGCGATCCTTCCGCACTTCTTCCATGTGTATTCTTCCTCCCCAGGCAAGCCAGGACTGCCACTTGCATGATTTCCTTGCAATAGTCTTGGTTCCTACTTTAATATTTAAATATTGTGTGCATGTTAATATTTTTGTGAATACTTTATATGCTTGTGAATTGGTGCTTATTCTTATAGTATGTCCATGTGCATCTTAATAGTTATTGAGTACTGGTTAGTAGCATTATGCTCATGGTTAGTTCTTGTAGTCAGTTCATGTTAATGCTGATGATATGCATGCATGTTGATCGTCTGTTATACTGATGGTGTTCATGCTCACCTCTAGGTCATGCTCGCATCTAGTGGATTAAATGCTTGCATGTTGTTGATGCTATGATCCATGATTGTGCTTTCCCGTTCATGTTCATGTTGTTCATGTTCAGCTCATCATGTTACATTGTCATGAATCAGCTCGTTGCATTCAAGTTTAACCGGATATTAAACGAACTTGAACATTTGTTGGTTGAGTCATAGTTCCATCGAAATCGAACTGACAAGTGCAGCCACATTTGTCTGTATGGGAAGGCCTTATTAATGCGATCTATTGTCATGTCCTCTCGCCAGTGCCTCCAACTAGGGAAGGCTATGCACGCACACTGCCCTGGCCCGGTAGGTAGTGATAACCTTGTGTGTGCCTGAGTTGTTTGCGCGCTTTTGTCCCTGTTTGGGACCATTTATGTTTTGCCACAATTTGTGGCCATTGGGTGTCACGAGGTGACATCAGGGCCACCCATGACTCTGCCGAAAGGGGAATTTCTCGGAGTGGCCGGGAGAGTGTCATGCATTAGATCAGTTTTGTCGGAACATTGTTGGTCCACCTGAATGGGAGCATCTGGCCTTGGGTTCCGTGGTGTGGGTACAGTGTACTAACCTGTGAAGAGTGTATAATCTATCGATGGCCGCGCCCGTGGATATAGGCCCAGTTTGTAGTAGGTCACACTGTGGGTCAATAGTAATAACAAGTTGACTAATAAACAACCCCGGTTCGACGAGGAAAGAAGTTGGTTGATCTTTATGTGGTCACGGGTGGATCACGATGGTATTCTTGATAATGATGAGGTGATCTTGTGTGGATCACGATGGTATTCTTGATAATTATGAGGTCATCTTGGGTGGATCACGATGGTATTCTTGATAAGGATGAAGTGATTTTGTGTGGATCACGATGGTATTCTTGATAATGATGAGGTGATCTTGTGTGGATCACGATGGTATTGTTGATAATGATGAGGTGATCTTGCAAAGGTCCCGATGGTATTCTTGAGAAGGATTGAAGTGATCCGTGACCACGATGGTAAGTAAGACTGGCATATATTTGGTGGTTACGAGTTAACCCCGAATAGAGTAAGTGATATTTGTAAGCATGTTGCATCCTAGTATCATCCTGTTCATATCGTGAGTAACGTGCCATGCTCAGTTCATATCGTTCTAGTTATGTGATGTTAAACGTGTTTATGTTCAGGCCATGGTTATGTTGTTATAGTGGTACCATGTCATCCTTGTTTAACCTGTAAATGCCATGCTCTTGTTTGTGTTGATTGCTTTTGGTTGTTGTGAGCTTACAAGTACATTCAATGTACTAACCTGGCGTGTCATGCCAGTTTGCAGGTCCTGCCTTGTCTGCTTACTTGTTTGTCGAGGATCCCAAGTTTGCGAGCTAGGATAAGCGTTCCAGCCAGAGTCCCTACGGAGTGGAGTTCATCATTGTTGACGTGTTCCGCTGCTAGAACTTATTCCGCTGCTACAAGTTGTTCTGCTGGTAGCATAGAGCCATCCTGTTCTGTGTAGTGTCATCGTGTCGATGTAATCCTTGGGTCTTCAGAACCCTTGTATCCATATAGATTGTAACAAAGAGCTGATTTGTTCTATGCCAATCAGTGACGTATTCCAAAAGACATGATCTGTAGGCTGGAATACAGGGTGCTCCGGTCTCTCTGAGTCGGGGTGCCACACTGTTTCCTATTTATTTAATAGTATAATATATTGTTATAAATATGCCAATATTCACTCCACACATATTTTTAATAAGTAGTAGTTATGCCATATATATAGGCCACACAACATCAGTCAAAATCCAGGCATGCATGTGAGCCTTATATTTGGACAGAAGTTACTACTAGTGTTCTTTCCTATTGTGTTGCCTTGACACTTGATGGATAGATTGTAGGCTTTACCTGATTTTTCTACTATGTATGTAGTATTGGTTGCAAAGCTCTTTATGTCCATGTATATCGTGTAGATCTACAAACAATTTTCGATCTTAGTAATTCATTTCTATTGATAATCTAAACCACCCAATTTCTATTGTTTTGATAATACAATATATTGTTATTACTATGCCAACATTGACTCCACAAATATGCTTAATGACTACTCCCTCCGTCCGGAATTACTTGTCGCATATATGGATAAAAATGAATGTATCTAGAACTATTTCTCCAACAAGTATTTCCGTGTGGAGGGAGTATTAATTATGACCTATATATTGTCCACGCTGCAACGTTCATATCTTAGCCTTATATTTGGATACAATTTATTGCTTGCATTAATTTTTGGCTATGGCATAAATTTTGCATGCTCCTCATGGCTTTAAATTCTGATGGTCGTAGCTACTTTGCTGAATGAGTTTGATATCTCAGTAGGAAGAAAACAGATTCATGTACTTTTTCACCTACTGAAGTTCTAAGGAAGACGACTACTGAAGTCAAAGGTATTTCTCGAATCCGTTCATCTAGTAATGTTTATAGGAAGCGAACATCGGGCTTGCATGAGACGGAGGCGTCGAGACTCGAGAGTAGGGATACAAATTTTGAAATTTCAAATCCGCCCATGTTTGCTCGCTCACCCCACCAGGTGACAGGCAAACCCTAGCCCCCTCCCCATCCTCCTCTCCTACTGCCACCCTGGCGTGGTCCACCTGGGAATTTCCCACGCGGTGCGGGCTACGACCGGTAGGTATTTCCCCAGGCATTCGGCAGGGTTCCTTCTAGCGGCAGTCTGGCTCGGCCAGCAGCGATTTGGATCGGCGGGGTGGTTCCCGCGGTCCTTAGGTGCCTTAGGGGCGGCGGCGCGTCCGTTGGCTACGGGATGGCATTGGTGTGAGAACATGGCCGAGGGCGCCCGCTAGGCCCAGATCTGGGCCCTTAGGGCCCCATCTGGGTTCGGGCGGGCTTGCGGATCTCTTCACGGTAGCAAGGCTTCCTGGAGGTGGAGGTGTTGCCACGGTGGTCTCCTCGCGTTGGCGTTGGCAACCGACATGTTGCAACATGGTAGGAGGACTTCACGAGCCCATCTAGGTCGGGCTGGGGCAGTAGGGGCCCGGTTTGTCCTGGTTGCCGCGTCCGATCGGTTTTTGCATCGGCGGTGGAGGTAGTCCACTCCCGCTTGGCTAAGTTGTTGGTGCCCCGGGTCCGTTGTTCCCTCTTCCTTCCTCTAGGGCTCTTATCGGTGGCCCCTGTTTGGCGATGAGGTTGATTCAACACCGTGGTGGCGCATGCTGGTGGACGGCAGGATTGGTGGAGAACTCGGATTCTCCGGGGTGGTGTGGATTTTTGGGTCGGGAGAAATCCCTTTTGGGTCCTTTTTTGTGCGGTTTTAACGGCTACCTTTAGTTCTACATAGGGGAATAACATTCTTTTTTATGATAACAGATTACCATGGACGGACAGTACAATAGTGGTGTGCATAATGAGTTGGACCTCTTCATGTCAAGCAAACACAACCACCTATTCCAGGACAACCATAATGATGAGATGGATGGCCTTCTTGAAGCCACTAATGTCATGGGCAACACTAATGATGCCAACGTTGTTGATGCAGACCATGACAACAATGATGGAGAGACCCACAGTGAGCAAAGAATGGACACAAGAAGTGCCAATTATCACTGTCTGCGCAGTGAACAAATCCTACAACTTGAAGCGTACAATACATACTCAATCAATGTTTCTTACCTAGTGAAGATGTGTACTAATCCATTTTCATTAACGTGATCTGTAGTGTGTTCCGGGACTGCCCTTATCCAGATGAGAAACTTCAGAAGGACCTTAGCGAGAGGCTTGGCATGAATGCCCAGCAGGTCAAGTTTTGGTTCCAAAACAAACGCACCTTCAGTAAGGTACATACCATTCTTTTCCACAATTAATTACATATGGGTCACCTAAGATTTGCAATTATATGAACACTTTGCTGTTAAATAGTACAAACTCCACTGAAGATCATCGCATTGGATCTTAAAATATACTATTGTATTCCCCTCATGAACATGGTATCATACTCTGGCAACCACTAATTAAAATGACGCATACCTGAAATTAATATATGCAGGGCAAGATGCAGCGTTGGGAGACCCAAAATCGTTGGGTAGAAAATGAGAGGCTGAAAACTGAACGTCAAGCCATCATGTTGGCTATGCAAAACAAGACTTGCCTCAAATGCAGAGGGGTGATGGTACAATCTCAGGGTACCTCGGAGCGCGAGCGCCTATACACCGAGAATATGAGGCTCAAGGAAGAACTCCTACATGCCACTGCCTATCTTAAAGAAGGTCTTCGCCGAAATGGCATGTTGCTCCCATGGGCCCGCAACTGAGCATACCATCTTCAATCTTAGCCAATGTTGATTCTTCCGCATGAACTATAGTTTTACTTCGTTCCGTAGCTAGCAAATAACGCGCCATGTTGCATGTGGTCGCTTGTTTATTTATTTCCATGGGCTCTCATGGTTTCTACGTGGGATGGCACGAGATATGGCAATCATGGCAGCAATGTAGGGGCAGTATGATGAGCGGCTTTGGGATGGCATTGCCGTGAAGCTCAGTCCAATGCCCGTCTTTGTATCTTTGAGTTTGTCACAAAACAGATCAAGTAGATGCCAATAAATAGCGAAAAACAAACATACAAGTTGCAAGTTGAATGCCGCACAATAACATTGTGTGTGTGTCCTAACATTTTGTGGTGTGAGTATGCCATTCATGAGACACCTCTATTGTTGATGTTTTTCAGCAACATAAGCATTCATCCTCTTTTGGATCCATGGCTGGAAGTGAACCACAATCACCATCCACCCTGTGCACTCCCCGGTGCATGCACCTGCAGAGTCATGCACGGAGTATAATGAGGGGGATCCGAAGCTACAAGTAGTGCAATACTTGGTGAAGGAGTCTTTGGGATCCCCTTGTGCCTGGTGGTCTCCGTCATGAATTTTGCCAAATGGGAAATTTCGTCACATGTGAATAAGCAAGTGCAGGGATTTTGCATTTCCATGGAGCATAACCCAATCGGAGAGCCGAAAGATAGCCGCGCAAAGGCGGTGAACCTCGGATGTGTGCCACAACAGATGATGTGCATAGTAGTGGCCAACAACAATGTCAAGAATGTGCGGGATGATGCCAAGACAATGTGAATGGGAGATAAGTGCATTCAAGAGAGAAAGGCACAAGAGCAAAGACTTCAAGATCATGGCATCCAAGGACGATGAATTTGTTTAATACATTGCAATGCTCTTGTCTGGTATCATCATTGACCTGGATGTGCTTTGGATGACATATCCATTGAAATGTTCAAGTAGTTCCTATGCATAATTTCCCATGGTAAGTGCATGTGGTCACCTCGCTTGAGACAATCATGGACCTCAAGACCCTCTAAATGGAGAAGCTCATAGGTCTGTTGCTTGCCGTTCAGCAGAGCTATGCCATATGGATGGAAACCTTTGATCAAGTGAATTTTTGCTGCTAATGGAGAAAGAGTGGTAGGCACGACAACGATGTCACAATCACATTGACGAACAATCCTGTGATAGAGACATACGAAGGGCAAGGTGAAGCCCAAATTGCCATCTGGTGATACCAGAAGCCAAAAAAGTCATAGTGGTGGCAATATTGATAACACGAGCAAAGTTGAGTCACTGGGCAAAGGTTGGTGCCACAAAAAATGGTGTCTATGCCCACCTAGCGAAAGATATCACAAACCTTGCAATGAACGACACGGCGAGACCAACCTGCTGGCTCAGAAGGACGCACAACACTACTTCTAGCGATGACCGAGGACAGTGCACTCATGTTAGAGGCTTAGAGCTGGTGCGCATGTGCTCTCAAACGAGGACGAGAAGCCCCTTGGACCTTCTTATCTTTCATGGCTTATATGGAAACAAGTCGCACAAAAGCTGGAGATTAGCCATTGAAAATTGCAACATTTTTGTGATTATTTTTGTTTGGTGTGAGCACCGGTGTGTACCTTGGTATGACCTGGTTTGGTCAAACTAGCTGCGAGCATCGGTGTGTACCTTGGTATGACCTAGTTTGGTCAAACTAGTGCTCTACTTCCACTTTGTCCTTTGCCCTAACTTAAAGATTTGGTAGTGTTAACACATTGTTTCTATACGACATCAGATTGAGATGATCCAAAAGGTAAAGTTGATCAACTCGACAAGGTGGACAACTTAAATGTGGATATATAGTTTCCACATTTGAGATCATATAGATGGCAATCCTTCAACATTCCCAATTGGAGATACCGTTTGTCGCTTTTCTCCAAGTTGGCGACAAAGGTTAAATGTTCCTAGGAGATAAAAACTACCTAGAAAGCCAAAAATATATATTAAAACATAGCAGTTAGCATATATTATCAACTAGACCATGACATCATGCGTCGCCACGCCCGTCCATTTCTTTAATGGAATGATACAAAGTTTGTAAATACATAAAGACTTGAGAATGGAAGTTAAATGTTGTTTTTTTGTGGACGATATAATGTGCAAAAATAGATATTTTCATATATATGTACGTAGGAAAACACAATTACATTATAAACATGTTCCATGATAAGCTAAGAACATGGCCAAATAAAGACATTGTACAGCAATGTGTATAATTTTCTCATCACACACGAATCACATATATTTTGATCATTGCCGGCAGCACCCTCATGCTCTCCACCGTCCCCGTGTCAGAACTTTAAAACCAGTGGTCAATAGCTCAACATAGGGAGTGATGGTTCCTCCACAAAATGCAAGATGGTTCAACGTATATGAAAAGATGTTGCAATTCCTTTTCAAAAGAAAAATATGTTGCATCCTATTTACTATTATAATCAAGCTATAAAATCCATGGAATGGTACCAGTGTGCCAAATATTCCAAGCTGGAAGAGGATGAATCAAGTTCTCGATGGAATAAGAAATCATTTGCATTTACTATTTCCCGACATGGTTTACATATGTTTTGTTTGTAAAGTTACAACATTTCGAGCTGCAACTTGTCTTGATGCTCATACAATTTTGGACAAAGTGAAGCAAACCTTCAAAACTGCAAAAATTAGAGGTAAGAAATAAAAGAAAGTAAAACGATAGCAGCACATCATGAATATTAGCTTTGGTCGATATAATATTGGATATATTTTGCATTAACCCACAATCGTAATAGATAAGGGTGGATACCACATTACATATGTTTAGAGGAAGATATAGGAGTGCACCATATCTTAATTAAACCCCTGCATCAATGTGACCCATTTTTTCACAAATAGGAGCAAGACATCGGTCATATATAAAGTAGAATTTGTCTTGTGGAATTTTCCTTGTCGCATTCAATCTAAATGAAGAGCAAACTTATGTGCATGCAAAGTAGTAGGCCCAACATAGTAAGTAAGCTGCAATACAGTGATATCTCAACAAAATCTTACCTTTTCCAAAGCTACATCTTGTCTAGATGCTCATAAATTTTCGGACAAAGTGAAGCAAACTTTTGAAATTTTAACATAAAACCAGTTTACCAAATGTACCTGGAGATGTGCAAAAAGAAGAGGTTAGAAAGAAAGGAAAGTACAATGATAAGTCTACTTTTCAACATAGTCTATATGTTAATCGCCACTATGAAAGTTGAAGCCCCCTGCATCCAAATTTTACACTACAGTACCGATCTGAACACTTCTATATTTCTTGACAGAGGGAGTACATATGAGGTAATAGCCAAAAAATAATCGATGTTATCTATGATTTTGACGATGTTAGAAAATTATATGGATATATATTTATATATACTTTATCTGTCTAGAATATCACCAGTATGTAATTTCTAAATTCAGTGAAAGAGAAATAGTTTATGTCTAAGTACCAAATTGACCTTCACAGCTCATAGAGACTTTCCGGTCAAAGAAAAGAAACTTATTACTATGTAGCAAATACTAACTTAATTTTCCTTCCAACAAAGATCTCAGAGCCAACAAGTACAACCTGCTGCGTCGATAAGCATTTCGTTCCCATGGACACATCTAAATGAGGGCACACCAAGAAACACCAAAAAAACACAACAGGGTGCTTGTTTAGTATCCACACCTTATACCCATGATACTCATCATAGGCAGTATCATTGCCTACGTATCATCCATGTTCCCCCACAAGAAATTATTATGATCACACATATTATCTTCCTTTTCTTAGAGAAAAGGCCATAGCCCGACTTTATAAATAAAGCCACACGGCAGCGTCACAGACCCAAACATAAACATAACCAACAGGCAAAACATCGTGAATCACCGAACAGAAAGTTTGGGACCATCAAACGGAAGTAAGATCTACAGGCAACCTGCCATACTCGGCGCGCAGGCCGGAAGGGAGAAGACTAGAACCAAACGACGTGAACCGCGACACCATGATTAGACGACGTGATCCAGCCCGGAGATGTGGGATGCCGAAGCTCGAATTTTGGCGATGAGCAAGTCCAGGGCATCCCAATCTTCATCCTTAGTCAATAATCTCCACTGCTACAATAGTATACATGATTTGAAAAGAACGTCAGCAGGCTTAGAAGGGAAGATATGCTCAATTGTAAATTTGTTCCTAATAGTCCAAAGAGCCCAGCATAAGGCACCCAGGCAGACCTAGAACACCATCTTGGTAACCCCAACCAAAACTTTGGCTAGGTCTCTAAGCTCAGAGAATGAGGAAGTGTTCCAAGAAACCTGAAGCCAAGATCTGACACAACTCCAAACCAACTTGGCCAGCACGCAATGGAAAAAGATGTGTTCCGATTTTTCCAAGGCACCGCACAAATGGCAGAACTCCGAGCCTGGCCCATTGCGCTTGTGAATCTGGTCAGCCATCGGGAGGCGGCCTCTAAAAGCTTGCCAAAGGAAAATTTTAATCTTAGGAGGCACTTTGGATTTCCAGACACAAGAAAATCTGCTCGAAGGGGTACCACCGATAAGCCTAGAGTACAACGACTTAACCGAAAACCTACCAGAGGTCGAATGAGGCCAAACCACAGTATCAGACGACTCCGAGAGCAAAGGGAAGAGGGCAGAGAGACTTTGCCAGTCTTCCAACTCTTCAGGGGACAGGGAACGATGAAAAGCCAGATCCCAGTTATTTGCCGCCACCTCCGTGATGGAGATGTCCGGTTTAGGACAATACGAATACAGAACCGGAAAACTAACAGCTAGAGGGGCATCCCCAGACCACCAGTCCAGCCAGAAGCGGACTGCCGTCCGTTACCCACGATAAATTTTACATGTTCCAGGAAAGTAGGCCTGACTTTGACAAGGTTCTTCCAGAATTGAGATCCTCGACGAGCGGTGGAAAACAGCGGGCTAGAGTG